AACTCTGTTAATAATAGGTTCTTTTGGTTATATATCCTTGACAGTTAAAAACTTATTTCCAACATTTACATTGCGTTTTCTAAGGTCCACCAAAGACGTTATTGCAAGGCATGCAGTTTTTGCTATAAATCAATGTACATTGTTTCATTGCATGACATATTACCCAGTCTCATTTTGCCTTGAGATACCCTGCGTGCATAGGATTTTTCCAAAATCCTCTGCTCGCAGGGTAACTTGAGAGTACTTAACACTATTTTGCTGTGATTTAATATCACTGCACATGCAGGGTGCTTGTTTTTTTCTCTACTTAAATCAAACTTAGTATACAATGACTGATTTTGAGACTTTTATAAGTATGGGATAAGTATTCGCATTAAATCAAAGTTAAATTGTGCATTTTGTGTTTTCTACCTTTCCTGAACCATAATTTGCAATATACTTGTAAATACATCCTTACAATTCAATTATTTAAAATATGTGTTAAGACTGCAAACGTTGTTTGCTTGAGATTCTGCCTGGTTTTCGATCACGTTGAGGTGGTCAGATGAATCCGTCACATTCAGAAGCAACGAGCTTGGCATACCGAGACCTAATACATTTTTGTTTTGACATGGGACTTTTATCGTGACTTATAATTACATAAACACAATTTTTTTCTGCTTTTTCAAATGAATTACAATCATTTTTTAAAGACATTGGTACATTGTTTATGGACAATAAGTTTAAAAACCGGTTTAAATACAAAGCATAAACAGAGAAGACTGCGAAAATTACACAGTAAATGGGAAAATATCACATTGACAAACCTATTTATTGCCATAAAACATCGCTATTACAACAAATTAACTTATCGCTGTGAGTCTAGAGCCAATTGTACAGGATTGTAGGTCATCTAATCGTTAGTCTTCTCGAAGAATTCAAATRTGGCGTCCTTACATGTGCTGTTATAGTACTTCAATGTTTGGTCTTGTTAGGATTATTACTGTTSACSAAGGARTAAGTATTTTCTAGGATTGGAACAACTTTTAGTGTTARTCTACCGCGAACGGCATGTCCATTTGTTGTTTTTTGATTGCAAAAGTATCCAAAGGATCAAACGTCGCTGAAACGTAGCACCAGCAGAGCACCATGTGACTAAATATGGATGACCATGTCAACCTCGTACCCAGGGTCTCCCTTCTCGCTACTGGGTACGAGGTTGTGACCATGTGACTTTGGTATTCCTGTGCTATCAAACCAAGAAATTATGGGAAATTTTGTTACTTAGGTGTGCACGTGATTGCCTGATTATTATGGTTTATTTAACTCTGGGCTACCTGTGCCCTACTAATCCAATGTGTATCATTGGATGGAAGTTTTACTACTCTGAGCATGCTCGTAATATTTTCAATCTGTTTCATGAAGAACAGTACTTCCCACATGGTTCTCAGTAAGCCAAAATATTAGTATATAAGTCAAGCAAAATATAGTTACTTACTATGAAGCAGTGTAGGCCCATAGGAGATGACGTTATGGAAAAGAGAATATGACATAATACAATACATGACGTCATGGTGACGTAATTGCACATGAACCCCGAATTAGAGATGTTTTAAAAATAACTTCCGGAAGTCCTACAATTATTTGAACTTCCGGTTGACCAAACGCGACACGATAGATAGATACATAGACTAAAAGGTAGAACTAAAGTCGGCCTAGCCATAGGCTAGCCCGACTAATAAACTGCAGAATAAGGATTGACCTGAATATAATATAAAGTACTCAAATATTTGAGCTATTTAAAGTTAAAGGAAGTACAGTAATACACTACGCTGGAGTCGTTACTAATGCTTGTTTCAAGAGCGAACTCTTTATCAGGTGCAGCAGACCAAGGGCTTACACATTCTTTTTTCAATTCAATTATTTTGAGCACATATTTGATTTGAGTATAATGAATAGCTTTTCCATTCTATTATACATTTTAAAATATGCACATGTACAAGTATTGTAGAATATCTCTTGACAGACCTTGAGAAGTGTCAACCTTGCAATTCTTTGTAGTGTGACTGGAGGACCCGCACTTGTAGCACACACCAACACCAACTCCTTGGTTATTAGTTTGTGGACAAGTAGCTGTGGTATGTCCAGTCTGACGGCAGTGGAAGCAAGTTAAACCCTGTAAGAAACCCTGTTGGGATTTTCAAAATAATTTTCAGTGATAAATAACTGATGGACAACAATTAAAATAAATTACTAGCTGGGTCTTCTTTAAAGCACAATATTTTAGCTGTCAAATAAACAAACCAATAACAGGTCATCACAAATAACAGA